ATCCTGAGGGAACAGGAGGGGAATGCTGGCAGCAGCCCAGGAGCTGGGATGAGGGCAGTGGGTACCACCCACCCCACACCTTTACCCCGCCCCAGGGGCTGCCCTTTCCCTGGRMACACTCCARGCTGCTCYRGCAGTGCAGGGGAGCAGGRATGGGGCAGGGMTGGGGATCACAGCAAGGATTCCAGCCAGGAATCATTGCTGCACCTTCCCTTCCCGCTGCAAAYCTTCCCCTGGCACCAGCCCCTTCTCCCTCCTTCCCCCGCTGCCTGGCCCCAGAGCAAAAAGGTTTAGACAGAGAGATAAGGATTTGAAATAACAAGATTTTTCCTTTGGAAATAACCAGATCTTTTCTTCGGAAAAACCAAAGCTTGCTTGTGCTGCACTTCCAGAGAAGTTTCCCTGGGAAAATGGCTGTTTGGGAACACTTTCAGCCCCTTCCCAGAGTTGGGAGCAGCCTTTGGTGTGGCTGAAGCCATCGGGAGCAAATTCCCGCTCCCAAACCCTTCTTACCAAGGGCTGAAACTCCTTGGAGCAGCCCCAAAACTCCACCATCCAGTCTGGGATGGGGAATTTGGCTTTGGGGGCAGCCAGCCCTGGGTGTGGAAGGCCACAAGACATGGACAAGGCTGCAGGGCAGGATGGAAATGCRGATCTGAGCCCTGGATTCCCTCCCAGCACCAACCTGTGACAGAATCCTCAGCCCAGCTGCTCCTTCCTTTCCCTGGGACTGGAAGGACCAGCCCAAAAATGGGAGCACGGTGCTGATGGAGGTGATGACATCTCAAAGCCAGCAAGTGRAGAGGCCCTGAAGGAGCCCACACAGCTCCTGGAGGTGCTGGAAACCAGCAAACCATTCCCTTCAGGAATAATCCAGGACCCCATTTCAGCCAGGCCTCCCCAAAGCAGCAGAGAGTTCTGGGAGAGATTCCAAGGACGAGTGTTTTCCTGGGAGAATTGAACAACATGCTCTGAACCCTCACCATCCTCACCTTTCCAAGGATTCAGGTTAAAAAAGGATCAGGAAATTTGAGTTTATTTGTTCCAGTTTGGGAATAGTGTGCCCATAAATAATAAATACGTAATAAAGGGCTGGAAATTCAAGCTGTGCCTRACAGAACTCCCAGTTCACAGYCAGGATYCTTRTTTGGTCCCAGACCAAGAACACCTRAACCTCCTGGGAAGGGTTTCTATGGATAAAGGAGTCCACGTGTGCCTTGACCAGCTCCAAAACACCGGAGTAGGGGACAGGGAATGTCACAGACACCAAGCAGCCTGTGCAGCCCCACTCCTTGGAGGACAAATATTTCCCCAGAATCCTAGAAAAAGCACAGCATTGGTGAGCCAGAGCCAAGACCAGTGGGAATGTTTGAGCAAGCACTGCTGTTGCTGCTGGGAAAAAGCCTGGAAAGCTTTGTCTGGAGGTGGGAAAGGCATCGGATGCTGGTTCTGAACACACCCCACAGCAGGGGGGAAGGCTGGAAGGAAGCAGGGATGCTTGGTTGGAATTTGGGGCTTTTTTTCCTGTTTTTCTCCTCGCTGCCGTGCAGGCCGGGGCTCTGCAGCCATTGTTGTGTTCTCCAAAGAGTCTGGCCCCACAATGCAATAAAAACAAACCACAGGAAGGAAAGGAATTAGCAGGGAAAGGAAAAGCAGCAGCAGGAACAAGGAGTCAGGCCTAAAAAAAACGTGCTGGCTGCTGCTGCGGSTGCAGGTAGGAGAGGTTACACCTTCCCCTGGGGCAAAATTTGGGACTTGGGGGTGACATTCTGGGTTTTATGGTTTATTGCTATAGATGAGTGGGGTTGCAAGGGGCTGGAATAACAGGWAACAGCCCCATGCACAGGGATGTGGGAAGGAATTTCTTTGAAATCTGAGGTTTCCTAGAAATTTGAACTTAGAGGGAGCAGAGGCAGAGCTGCCTGCAGCACCTGGAGAAGCATGGGCATGGGATTACCAGTTTATCCCTGTGGATTTTCAGGAGAAGCACCAAGACTGAGGGTTCAGCACTCCAGGTTTGCCTGAGCTGCTCCCCAAGCCCCTGCTCTGCTCTGCCAAGGCAAACGCACGCAGGATCCAACAGGAAATCTTCCCAGGGCTGCTGCTTCCGCTGCGTCACTGCCCCTGGAGCTGCGGGGCTGGGTGGGACCTGCTGGACACACGGGCTGTGCCCACCTCGAGCTGCTTCCAGCTCCCCAGGAAGGAAAACAGGCAATGAACAGAAAACAAAACCACCTCCAGGCTGCATCTGCTGCCCCTACTTCCCTGCAGGCAAACCATCCACTTCCCAAACAGGGAATGAGGGAGGGAGAAGCTGGAARGAACCCACTTTACAGCCCCCAAAATCCCTGAAGGGAGTGGGAGGAGTGTGCAGCCAGGTGGGGTTGGGCTCTTCTGCTRAACAAGCGACAGGACAAGWGGAAATGACCTCAAGTGGCTCCAGGGGAGGTTTAGGTTGGATATGACAGAAAATTCCTTCTCTAAAAGGGTGGTCAGGCACTGGCACAGCTGCCCAGGGCAGTTGTGGAGTCCCCATCCTTGCAGGGGTTTAACAYATGTGTGGATGTGGCACTTGGGGACACRGGGCAGTGCTGGTGGAACAGYTGGACTCTGCCTCAGRGGGCTTTTCCAGCCTTACTGATTCCATGATTTCTGCTGCTGCCTGGCACAGAGAAGCCCAGRCCTGTCCCACAAACACATCACCAGGGAGGTTTTGCCATTCCAACGCCAAGAAACACTTTATTCCTGTCAGCCTCACCCATCCTCACAGAGGACAGAGCGCACGAGGGGAGCCAGCTTTTCCACACRGGTTCCATGTGGGGGCAACGAGGGACAGCCATTCCCAAAACCCACCATCACCAAGAAGTCTTTGCTAAGCTGGTGCAACCTCAAATTTCAAAGCAGGAGTTGACTTTTGGGACTTGGTAGAGTTCAGAGAGGCCACAGAGGCCTCGAGAGAYTCTTTTCCCAACCAATTGTGGGGATGAACACAGCCCAGTCCACWCCCAACAGCACCAGTATTCCTGCCTCAAAACCAGACTCTGAACCAATACCACACTCTGGACTCAGAGGGGAAGGGGAGGAAGGGCTGGGATTAAAATACCACCCCAAAAACACCACCCCAAAAAAAAATACCACCCCAATTCCARCACAAATTTGGAAGAGATTGACACGAAGGATGTAAAAAGCAGGAGCAGCTATGAAAGTATGTTGAGATGGCCAAGAAAAGTCACATCAAAATATATTTAAAAACCAGAAATTCCAATCTGTGTGGAATTTAGAACTCCTTTCCCCACCTCTGTTTTCCTGCTCAAGGAATCGCTGTTGTTCCAGGACGTGGAACATGATAGGCAGCACCAGTTATGTCCTGAAAAAGTATTTTCCCCCAACTCTGAGCACTTCCATCATTTACAAACCACAAACGAGCTAAACCTCAGCCATCRCCCCCCTCCCTCTTTCCCCTTCTACAGTGGGCAGGAGAAAAGACCGCAAACGAATCTGACTTTGCATTTCCAGGGAAGTCCAGTTTTTCCACACGTCAATATCCCTGCAGTCCATTGTAGACCTTCTGCACTGATCCTTGCTTCAACAGCTGCTTGAGACCTGCSAGGGAAGGGACAGAAGGGACAGTGTCACTCACAGAGCATGGGAAAGGCATCAGGGTGGCTTTTCCAATGCTTCTTCCCCGTTCCTGAAATCCTGCTCGCAAAATATTCCAAGGAGCTGGCGGCTCGAGGATCTGTCGGGATCAAATTCTGAGCAAACAGGCTCAGAGGGTGAGTCAGCCCTAAAATCCATCCTAGCTCATCTCCTGGGGTCAGCACGGCAGGGCAGGGCTGGCAGGGCTCCACTGCTGCTTAAAGGGCAAGTCCACACGGAGCAGGGGAAGCAGAGTGGCAGTGATGGATGTGTCACTGTTTTTCCAGAGATTACAGAGGGAGTCCCCTCTGATTAGCTCAGCTTGGTCACTCACTGCCCTGGGGCCCCTCAGGACACAGCTCAGAGTAGCCACAAAAACCACTGAGCCTAAAACAGGACCCAAAACAGAGGGAAACTCCCAATGCTGTGGGTAACTTTCAAACAATCTTCATTAAATAAGGACATGGAGGGGCTGGAGCGTGTCCAGGGAAGGGAACAGAGCTGGGGAAGGRTCTGGAGCACCAGGAGTGGCTGAGGGAGCTGGGAAAGAGGCTCAGCCTGGAGAAAAGGAGGATCAGGRGGGACCTTGTGGCTCTGCACAACTCCCTGACAGGAGGGGACAGCCAGGGAGGTCGTGCTCTGCTCCCAGAGAACAGGGACAGGATGAGAGGAAATGGCTTTAAGTTGCTCCAGGGGAGTCTGTCAGTAATGAAACCAACCCATTTACTTGTACCTAACCTTTCAGGCATGCAAACCCCTCAGGAAATCCTGCCAAGACACTCTGTCTCCCTGCAACCCTTGTCCTGCTTGTCTACCCTTAAACCTCTTTGGCTACACATTTTACTGTCCTTGAAAACCAGTGATGTGATGCATAAGGGTCACAATGGCTCTGTTAAATACTGGAAATCTATTCTGGAAGTAATAACTGGAAGCAGGACATCTCCCTGYCAGGCAAGAACTTCTCATGCTCCTTGCCTGGTGGCCAGAGATCCCTGAACTCTTTTTAGGAACAGCAGGACAAAGTGAACCCCTGTCCAGGAGCTGCTCATTATTAGTTACAGCTCATTTTCCATGGCAAATTCGCTTCCTCTCCCRCATCCAGAACAAGCTCCAAGCCACTTCCCAGCAGGTGGCTGAGAGGATGTGGGGTTCTTGGAAAGGAAGGCTGCAGCTGGACAAAGGTGTGCTCTAGGAACCCTGAAAAAAGTGGGATCAGCACCATCCCACACCTCTGGCAGCTGTCTGCTGGCCTGATAAACACCCTCAGTAGTGTACGGGATATTCCAGCAGGTTTCTGAGGTTTAATCAGGAATTYCAACAGGAATCCTGACTTTTGGAGCTATTGCACTTCAGGCACTCTTTGCTGGAACCTGAAGTATTTTTTTCCTTTGAAATGTTGCTGATAGCAACAAGAAGTGACAGGTTACAGCACAGAGGGAGGGGCAGCTCTGATTAACGGTGATCAATTCCCRCTGCAGGAAAGAAGGGATATTATTGCTGTGACTCCAAAGCTCAGGGTGGTGCTCTCACAGCCAGAGTATCTTCTGACAGCCCCAGGAGCTGGACATGTGGTCAGGAGATAAGAAATGAGGAGCACTGCCAAGAATAAGGAAAAAGGGGATGTTTTGAATTGTGAAGCCCAGTTTTCCATTGAATGTATACACTGAACCGCTGCCACACACAGGGATAGACCTATTCCCTCCTAAAACTCCTGAAATCACAGATGTCTGGAGATACCCAGCACACAGAAAGCCATCTGACTGCCTACCCTGTCACCTTCCCCTGGGAAATGTGGAATTGCTTCAGGAGGGAGAGCAACACCCAAAGTCCTGTGCCTGAACACACTCATGCCAGTGCCATCATCTCTGTTTCCGGATATCCGTGGAGGTGTGTGAGCAATGCTGTCAGAAACAGGGAGGCTTCTGTCATTGCTCCTTGCCCAGTGCCCTCTGAACTACTCAGAGCAACAGCTTGGAAACAGGAATAACCTCACATCTGTCACAGAGCTGCTGCTGCCTGATGAAGCTTCTGGAAGGGCGGCAGAGCCTGGGCTGAGACTTCACAGTGACGTGGTCATTGTGCCCTGCACGATACGCTTGGAACAAGAGGGAAAGCACAGGGATAAAACCCTGAACCAGGATCACCCCAAGCCCAGCCCAGAGGCACAGACCTCCCAGCCCAAACAGCTCCACAGGACATCTGGAGCTGCAGCCACCCACAGGACTGCACGAGGCAGCTGGCACAGCCAAGGCAGCAGYGAGTGCCAAGGGTGGGATAAAACCCACCCAGGGCTTGGCTTCCCACTACAAACTTGRGGAGTTTGGGAAATCCACTGAAAGAAGTGAATCCACTTCAGAAGAAGCCCTGGAAGGAGTTCTGGGGATGGGGATTTCCTGAAGAGCTGCACTGTTACATGCCAGGAATGTCTTTGTTCTGTGGCAGGGGATGAAGTCCTTGACTCCTAYTCTGACACAGCAGAACCACAGAGGCTGCTGGAGCAAAGAATTCCCAATTAGGAGTACAGGATTTACCCTCGTGGAAGTTTCAGGATTCCTCAGGGTTCATCAGGTTTCCATTTGAATAGCAGATGTCCCCTRGAGGGAGCAGGGTGGAAGGAGCTGTGGACAGGAACAACCCTTCTCCTGACACAACATTCCTCACCCTCGGCAGCAGAGGGATTCCCACAAGCCTGGCCTCCAAGAAAGTAGCAGCAGGAGCTGGAAAACCCTTTGTGATCCCATTCCAGCCGAGGCAAAGCAGACAGAGGCTGAGCCCAGCAAGGCTGTGGGGTCACACAGAAACAAAGCACCTCCAAACCTGCCAAGAGCTACATTCCAGCAGCAGCACGTCCCAACCTCAGCTCCGACCACAGCAGCCAAGCTTCCTCACTTCCAAGGGAAATGGGAGTCAATCCCAGGCCATCAGCCAGCTGTGTTATGCTGGACAAGGGGCACAGGGACAGCACAGGGACAGCACAGGGACAGCACAGCCCCTCCTGACTGCTCCAGCTCCTGCATGAGCTGGGCCAGGCTCAGGTGGCTCTGGACACGCACCTTCGCGCTGCTCGGGCGTCAGCTGCTCCTTGGGGAACTCCACGTCGAAGGTGATGATTAGGGAGCCTTTGATGTTGTTGTTATCAAAGTTTGGAAGCCCTTCTCCCTTCTTCCACAGCTTGGCACCGGGCTTTGTGGTTTTATCCCGGGCAATGTGAACCTGGCCAGAAAAGGAGTTTCAGCACATGATCGGTGTTACAGGATCAGGATCCCACAATCACTGAGCTTGGGAAAGAATTCCAAGATCACTGAGTCCAAGCTATGACTGGTCCCCACCTTGTCACCCAGCTCAGAGCACTGAGGGCCACATCCAAGTGTTCCTAGAACACCTCCAGGGATGGGGACTCCAAACCTCCCTGGACAGTTCATGGCCTGTGTGTGCACCCCAATACTCCAACAACCTTTCCAACCCACTGGAAAGCTCCAACTGGCACTGATTCCTTGCCAGACTTGATGATATCCAATAGGTCCAGGCAGTTTTACTGGACAGATGCCAGAACTAACCCCACCCACTGCTGGCACAGCCTGGAAGTGAGACCCACACCGTGTACCCCCTCATAGAGAGGATATTTTGGCTCCTTGGGAATCGGCCTGGGATGCTCCAGCAGAGGGAATACTGTGGATAAGCAGATCCTGAGCCAGCCAAYCCTCAGCACAGAGCTGCAGGTGAATTTGGGATTCACACAGCACCCTGGGACTCACCTTGTGCCCATCCAAGTGGGCAATATCCATCTCAAAGCCTGTCAGTGCCTCGACCAGCGAGATTGTCACGTTTGTGTACAAGTCATCTCCTCTCCTCTCAAACACTGGGTGCCTGTGGAAATAAGAGCCATTGAATTTTTCTGCTTCCCCAGAGGGGAAACAGGTACTTAAGCTTCTTTCTTTCTATTTGGGAGTTTGGAGAAATCATAAATAGGAAGGGAAGTGAGGAATGAATCAAATTTAGYCTCATTTTCCTGTATAAGATAAGCACTGATAAGTGCCTTTTCTATTTCTAGGGCACTGAGTGGTGAGGTGTGGCAAGAAGTCCTGACTCACACAGCAATTTTCTTAGTAGTGCACTTCCTTACAATGGGGAGATTGTGGAAAAAAGGAGATATTTGATCTGAATCACACATGGTAAATTCAAGCCAAAAAAAAAATTAAAATTCCACATTTAAGTGTCAAATGCAGCTCCTCCTGCACCATGAGGGCTGAGTGTCCTGCACAGCCCTGAGCTATGCTGAAGGGCAAGCTCCAACCAGCCAAGCAAGAGCTTAACTAGTCCAGGGACTTACTTAAGAACTTTGATTCGGAAGCGCAAATCTCCCGGCTCCCCATCCACGTGGGGCTCACCTGTGAGAGAGAAAGAAAAGCTCTGTTTAAGGGAAACAGTCAGAAACAAGCAGAGAGACAAGCAGGATGTTAAACACAGACTTGCAGCTTCCAAGTCAAAGGAAAAAAAGCAACTGATTGTTCTCTAGATAACTAAAAATCTGCTTAAACACATCCTGAAAGCTCAGGACTTTGTGAGTGTTGCCTCAGYGAGGTTACACCCCTCTGCTGCTCTGGGAGACCTGCATGCCAATGATGCCCTTTGGTCCCTGAAGGGCTTCATCTCCTTGGGCAGAGAGCACCCCCTCACATGCTCAAGCCTGGAACAGCTGTTCCTGCTCAAGTGCTGTGTGAAACATCAGATTTAGATCTCTCTTTGTGTGTGTCCTGCTCACAGTGAAGGCAGTGGAATTGTGTTATCCAGGTTAGGAGTGTCCACRATCCAGCTGCTGGATTTCAGCACATGCAGAGGACACAGCACTTCCAGCCTGGGGGATCCTGGGCACTGCCAGTGCCATGGAGAGCCRTGGGAAAGGAGCAGCTCAGAGCTGAGCACACACTTACCCTCCCCGATGAAGGGRTACTCCATGCCATCCCTCACCCCTGGCTCTATCTCCACTTCCAGCGTCCGCTCCTCATTCACCAGCCTGGAAACAGGAAAGAAGCCCAGCACTCAGTTTTCAACTTTATTTATTTCAACTTCATCTCAACTTTCCATTTTCTTTATTGGGGTAACGGGAACACCCCCACAAGCCCACATGTGCTCTCCTTTGCTCACATCTAAACCTGGAGGGTCACTGGTGCCTTGGTGAGCTGAGACTCAGGGAGTAGAGAAGGCAAAGCTAAAAGCTCCTAAATGCATAGGCAGCATCAGGGTGTGTGACCAAAGCCTGGCACTCCACATCCAGCTGTTCCCAGCTGTGTGCTTCCCATTCAGATTCAGCTGGGGAGCTTCTCCTGCAGTGGGACTGTGCATGGAATAAAAGGCTGGGAGAGGAAATTGGGGAGCTCTACATTCAACAGAGGTGGCTGTCTCTGCTGTAAGAACGAAGAGKGGCTCCCTGGAAATGTGAACCCGGTGTTAAGCCTTCCCAAATCCCCCTGTTGTTCCTGGGAATGCAGGCGCTTTCCCCCATCTAGCGGTGGCTTTTGGAATACACATCCCCTACATTACTACATAAAATCACCGAATTTAGGATTCTGCGGAGCAGAAAGAGCACCCAACTCACTTGACGTTGGGACATTCATCACAAACAACTTCCTGAGTCATCTGGAAGCGCCCAGGCCCCAGCTGGGTGGTTCTCATCTCCTGCCTGCAGTTGCATTTCCGTTTGCCAGGTGCCTGTCTTGCCACTGGCTTGTTYCTGACAACCTGCAGAGAAGAGGGAGAGGTTGATGGAGCATTGCTGGGTCTCCACAAGGCTCTGGATTTCTCTGAAAGGAGAATGGTTTGGGTTGGAAGGGACCTTAAAGATTAATTCCAGCCCCATGTATGGGCAGGGACATATTTTTGTGTGGTGCCACCACTCAAGCTCYGAAYATRTCCTCAGCAAAACATTYTGACAAAAGTTTTCAYCTTGTGATCACACATCAAACACCARAAAATCTCTCTCTGACACCACTGTTGCCATTCCCTTTCCTCTGCCTGCACACTTTTCCATACAGGAAAGGTAAATCTAGGATGGAACACCTCACACTTCCTTTAGGACACCTCCTTGTCCCCTGCAAGGGGGAGATTATCTGGAGTTTCCCTGACACCCACWAAACATAATCAACCAATGGCAAAGCCAACATGTAGAACAGGAGGGACTGTCAGAACCAGAGATGGASGTTGCTTGAAAGAAAATAATGATTTTCCACATCCTTTTCCCAGTTATATAACCTGGAAACTTGCAGTGACACGTTTGGCCACAGAAGAAGACTGAAAAATCCTCAATGTGGTTTTGTAAGAAATGCAAAATGAATTTAAAGCTTATGAACAGCCACTCAAATATCCCTAAAATCTACAGAGGGACCATTTCCACCTCTTCCAGCTGGGCTGCTGCACTAAACAAGYTGAGCTGGTGACTGACAGCCAATAAATCCATATTATCACACTTTACAGAGATGCTGCCAGGTGGAAAAGGTGAATTRATGTGTGGTTTCTTCACTAAACTACAGGAAATAGCACCACAACATCCCCCACTGACAGAAGGAGCATCTATTTCAGCTCTGTTTTTTGGGAGAAGATATTCTGAGCTCTGGTCAGGCACCTCAGAGCTGGGAACACCTGGAAATACTGAGACAGGTAAACTTACTTCTACGAAGTTTCCTGAATACACCTCCTCCAGTGTGACCTCCAGGTCCACGATGATGTCACTTCCTCGGGGAATATTCCTGTCCTGCTGGCGAGGGTTTCCTCCAAACATGAATCCAAAGTCCCCAAAGAAGCTGGTGTTAAGCACATTAATTAAGTCAGGAAGGAATTGTGGGCAAATGCTTCCAGCCTGCTGAAGAACAGCCTCCTCACAGCCCTAAAGCTCCAGAGTTAATGCAGGAGTCTCCTTTTGCTCCTGCAGGACACAAGCTAAAGCCTTCAAACAAAGCAACCACTTTGGAAGAGTTTTCTGCTCAAAATAAAACAAGGTTTGGAGCAGAAAACTTGAAATCTGAGTTCTCTGTACAGCACTGCTGCTCAGCTGCCACTACCACAGGGTTTAAACTCTGAGTAGYGCTGCAACCCACTGCTAGGAGGTTGGTTTTCAGGAGTTTGAGGACAAAAGGGATGGGGGAAACTTCCTAGGAATCCTGCATATTGTCCCTCAGAACAGAGCAGAGCAGCASTGCAAGTCCTCACCCAGGAGCTGTGCAACTTCTGGAATTATTTTAGGAAATTCAGCCAGAGGGGCAGAAAATCAGGTTGTCCAATCAATGTGTGAGTGCCTTCGGGTTTTAATGCTTCAAATTCTACAGATGCTGTGCAAGTCAGCACAGCATTACTCTRCAGAAGAAAAAATGTCCCCAAAACGATGTGTGACAACAGGTTAAACCCCAACCACACACAGATAACCTGAGAAAGTTTCCACATGTTTGAAGCAGGTGCTGCACCTRAGAAATCACCCACAGAGGTGCCCAGGTGGGAAATGTCCACTGGTTGTTGCTTGCAGTGAGGACTGATCCACACCAAAACTGGAAACTACCTGTGGGATACCCACTGTAAACTCATTTCTTCAAATTCCCAGTTCTCACATCAGCAACCCAGGGCCAGGTAAAAACCACATCAGAGGGGTRCTTGAGCATGACAGAAGCAGAGCAGCAGCTGCAGGACAGCCCAAAGGGGTTAACCCTCCTTACTGGGAGAAGATGTCTCCGTGGGAGCTCTGGTGGCCATCCTTGAGGCCCTCCTCTCCRTAGGCATCGTACTGCTTCCTCTTCTCCTCATCTGACAGCACCTGGAAAAGCAGGGATGGAGGAAAGGCTTTCACATGGAGCTGAGGAAAATGCTGGACAAGGCTCTGAGGGCTCCCAGCACTCTTCAATGGGGAACACTGTTGCCTTGAAAGGCCAGTTTTTAATAATGGCACAGACATGGTTAAGGGGATAAAAAGGGTTTTACCTCGGTATTTGGGATCCCAGGTGCACAACTCAATGGTAAAATACGCCCCCATGTATAGCACGGATACAAGTTTTATAGATTTCAGGAATTAGCATATCTATCTAGGATTCCCCAATAAGAAACTTAACAAATGCAGTAATGTCCCCCTATTCTAATGAGTCCCCCCCGCCAAGATGAGACCCGAACTCAGTTTACAGAGGATGTTTTAGACAGAAGGCTTCACCCAAGGCTGAGCTCGGGTTTAAGATAGCACAGGGCACACTGACTCCTTCCTCAGGATATTTGGTCTCTACCCAGCAGAACCCCTAAACTAAACTGGAATATCAGGCTACAGGAATGACAAGCATGCAGGGTAATGGGTACAGGGGGGATGCATACAGGGTACAGAAAGTGTAAAATGGAAAAGCAAAATCATCAGGCATCAACACTACAGAAGCCCCACTTGTTCTGCTGGGCTGGTGAAGTTAAGCCCATAAAAAGCACATTCTGTTCATTAAAAAAGCAGGAGAAACATGGAAAACATAAACATTGAGTTTGTCCTAAATATTAAAGAAGTCCCATAAGGAATAACTCAGATCCTACAAAGCAGGACACAGTGAAACAAATAATCACATACCCACCACCCCTCTGTCTCAGTCATGACTTAAAGCTACAAAGCATCAACTTGAATTCCTGAATTTTGATCTTTGCCTTTCCTTCCTCAGACATCCAGAAGTCTCTCATCACATTTAGTCTTCCTTCCCCTTCCTCCCCCACTGATCACATCAGGAAGGTCAGAGTTGCCAGGTTGGCTTTCAGAGGGCTGGACAGGAATGGGAATAGGTGGAGAAGAAACTCAGCAGGTGGGGAAGCAAATAAAAGATGAAAAGCAGGCTGAATGTGGGGTATCCAGAGAAGCTGGGGCTGCCCCATCCCTGKAAGTGTCCAAGGCCAGGTAGGATGGGGCTTGGAGCAACCTGGGATAACAGAAGGCATCCCTGCCCAATGTAGGGGATGGAACTGGATGGGCTTCAATGTCCCTTCCCACTCAAACCATCCTGGGATTCTGTGGAATTACAACCAACAATAAATGACAGCAACAGGGAAAAATCAGTGTGACTTCACTGCCTTCATCCAGCAGGTAAGGGCTCAYTTCTCCCTCTGACACTGGAGATTCCCATGGAAACTGCTCCCAAATCCACCCTGAGACTCCTCACTTTATGTGGAAGAGTTTCAGCCCCCTCTCCTGGGATCAGCCTCCTTCCTAAATGAGGCAGCTGAATCCAGACCACGCAGCTCCAGGGTGGAATCACCGAGCCCATGAAAATGAAGAGACTGACAAGGTTCATTAACCTAATTTCCCCTCACTKTTTTGGGAAAGCTTTGCCATAATCAGACCCTGAGCACTGGGGGTGTTAAAAGAGGCTCTATGGCAAGGAAAATCACAGTTTAGGTGATAAGGGACACCCAATTCTGGCTCCAGTTTGCCCAAAGCAGTAAAATCAACCYCCTGCATCCCACAGCTGATTCAGCAGAAGGATTTCCAAGCTGTCCTGRCTAAACACAGACAGAGACCTTGCAGGGGATCAAAAGCTTCCTCCAAAACCCACACTGGACCAATACAGGATTTCTGATTTGATTTTACAACCCTTTTCTCACCAAGTTTTTAAATAGAAAGAACAATCTCAACTGCTGGCAAAGTTAAATGAACTGTGACTTGGGGAGGAGGCAGAGAAATCCTTTCCCTGCACATAGTGCCAACAAGATCCCAGCTCACAGAAACAACACCAAGCTCACAGCTCCACATGCAGCAAACCTCAGGTGCTGAAAATGACAGGAAATTACTTTTATCCACAAAAAAAAAAAAATCTTTGAATTCACTGTTTTCCCTGTGATAGTTTATTTAAGTCTGAAGTAAAAAAAAAAGTGCCAGCTCTGAGACAAAACTAAAGCAAACAGTTTTCTTTTTGGACACAGAAATAAATTCCAGCTGGTTCTCTCACTTCCTCATTTGAGGAGTATTTGCATATCTGAGGAGCACCAGGGATGGAAGCAGGAGCCAGCCTACAAAGCCTCTCCTGTGCAGCTGCGTTCTTCCCAGAGGACCCCAAACAGAGAGTCACTGCCAGCAATCTTTGCTAATAGAATTKTTCAGCACCATCTTCCTCAGGGTCTCTCCTCTGCACAGGGGAGAGCAGGGGCAGATGGAGCCCAACAGTGACARGAGGAGGACAAAAAGGACAGAAAACAGGGAAGAAACCACATTCCATCACTATGTATGTACAGMCAGGGAAGGCAGGCTTTGACTTTAAACCTTGGGGCAATAAAAGAATCTATATTTGATTTGTTTAATGCACTGTGCTGTTYGAGTGAGGGATTGTTTGCAAGCCACAATATTATCATGGGAACAACAGGAATCCTCCTGCATATGACCCACAGTTACTTTTCTCTCTCAATATCCCCTAAAAGCCAAGGCCAGCACCTTTCACTTCCATTAGCCAGGCTAATCCCAGCCAGGCCCTACACACACTTGGAGCTGCTGCACCTCCACTTTTCCCTTGAGGAACTGGTAATAAATTCCAGAGAGCTTTTAAGTTAGTGTCTTCGATTCCTCCTGGCTGAGAGAGTTGAGGTGTTGGACTCTCCTCTGGGAGGGGAGCTCTCCAAATAACCTGGTACCCTCTGTACCTTTGGTTTTCGTTTGGGAGAGTGACAAGAATGTGATGTATCAACAGAGAGAGGATGGAAATTGATGAGAAGGAAAGAAGGGAATTTGATGAGAAGGAAAGAAGGGAATTTGATGTGGAAGGTGTCCCTGCCCATGGTAAGGGGATGGCATGACATCATCCTAAAGTCCCTTCCAACCTAAACCATCCTGGAATTCTGTGATAATAAAAAGTGTAGAATTCAATATATTGGGAAGGATGGAATTTGACATGGTGGCAGGGGAAGAATGGACTCCACCTGCACCTTTTGGAAGAGCCTTTACATTTCTTCAAAGCTCCTTTCCCATTCCCCTGAACTTTACAGAATGAACCCTCACGAGTCTCTCTGGCCAAGCTCCAGCCTGTTTTTACTACGAGCCCCATCCCCCCTTCCCAGCCYGGGGAGGACATTCCCGAATCCCGGCCTCACCTCGTAGGCAGCGCCCAGGTCCTGGAACTTCTCCTGAGCCCGGGGGTCGTCCGGGTTCCTGTCGGGATGGAGCTGCAGCGCCAGTTTGCGATAGGCCTTCTTGATGTCCTTGATGGAGGCGCTGCGGGACACCCCCAGGATCTTGTAGAAGTCTCTCCTGTGGTATGGGGGAGAGAGAAGGTGAGGGAAGGGAGAGGGAAACGGAGAGAGGGTGGAGGAGAACGGGGATGGGAGAGAGAGGGGAATAGGAGAGGGGATGGGAGGGAGGCGGGAAGGAAAGGGGCGAGGGGAAAGGGTGAAGAGCAAGGCGTGAGGGGAAGGGAGCGGGGTCCCGTCAGCGCGGCCGCCGACCCTGAGCAGGGGAAAGGCCCGGTGCTGAGGGGRAACCCCCCAGGCCCGCGGGCGCGGCCCGGCGCACTCACCCCGYGGCGGCCTCCCCGCAGAGGCACAGCAGGAGGAGGCAGAGGCGGCCGATCCAGGCGGGGGCCATGGCGGGCCCGGCCCTGCCCTGCCGGCGAACGGGGAGCGGCGGGAGCGGCGCGTCCGGGCGGCTCCGCAGCGCCCCTGCCCCGGCCGCGCCGCCAGCCAATAGGAGCGCGGGGTGTTCCCCGCCAGCCAATGRGAGCGCGCCGCCTCGCGCCGCCAGCCAATGGGCTGCTCACACTTCACCGCCGCCGGCCAATCGCCTGCCGGAGCGTCGCCGCCGAGCACGCCGGGCACGCCCCGCCATCGCTCCAGGGTGACTTCCTGCCGGCCARCCAATCAGCGAGCGTCTCGCTCATTCCCGCCCCCGCGCCGGCTGCGGCAGCCAATAGGCAGCGGCTCCGGGCGGGAGGGAAGGGCCGTCTCTATGGTGCCCGCGCGGARCTCGGGAGCGGCGGGGCGATGGCGGCGGGGCAGGTGCGGCTGTGGGTGCGCACCGAGCCSTTCCTGGTGGGAGCGCTGCCGGCCCCGCCGCCCGCCCGCCTCACGCCGCACTACCTGCGCAAGGCGGCCGCCTACGCCCGMGCGCGGGCCGACCAGGGCTGCTTCCCGCGGCTGCGCTGGCCCTGCTGGCGCCACATCGCCTGCGGGAAGCTGCAGCTGAGCCGCGACATCGCCTGGCTCTACTTCGAGCTCTTCCGCGGCCTCCTCGGGCCCGCGCCGCCCCTCCGCCTGCGCTGGGCTGAGACGGAGGCGGCCTGTGCCAGCGCCGAGGAGCTGGAGCGGGAGCGGAGCAAGGCAAGAGCCCGGAGCCGGCCTGAGGCCCCCGCTTAAAGGGCAGCCCGGCCCAGCCTGACTGTTCTGTCTCTCCCCTGCTCTCCAGCTCTCCGTGGACACGCTGCAGTTCCTGCTCTTCCTTTACGTCCAGCAGCTCCACAAGGTKTCCCTGCGGAGGTCTCTGCTCGGGGATGAGTGGCCCAGCCCCAGGACCAAGTCTCCCAGCCTGAGTGGAAAATCGGCCGGCGGGAATAAGGTACTCGTGCCTGTGGGATACTCCGCATGCAGGAGCTGCTTCTCTGCTTCTTCAGCCTTTGAGGAGGGTTGGAAAGGGRCTGGTTTGTTCCTGGGAGGGTTTCACCTGTGGCAAAGTGTGAGCGAGGCTCCAGTTGCAGAATTCCTGTTCCACGGTAAATAAAGCGAAGATGGTGTGTTCTCTGCAGTTGATTAAAAGTTTTCCATGAGGCTTTCCTGGAGTTCAAAGCCAGCTGAAAATTTCCTAGGAGTCTTGGCGAGTCTCCTTTTAGCAACAGTCTCTCTGCTTTTTTTTATTAGTCAAGCAGGAAACTTTCCTCCTGTTCATGCTGCCTTTCCCATGGTCCAGTGTGGAGCATTGGCTGCCAGGGTGTTCCCTGGCATCACTGTCTGTTTCTGAGAGGGGAGTTGGCTGTTCAGGTGTAAATCTGACGTGGAAATTCTGTTTCATTTTAAAATACTGATAGGTGTTTAGAAAGGAATGGGTTGGATGTGTGAGAATGGATTACAGTTGGGAACTTCACGTAAGGCCCTGCAAAGCTCTGGAATTCCAGCATGGRTATGCTGCTGTGAGCAGGATGAGCYGYTGAAATGTAGCTTGGGGCAAGCTGGAATCGTTAAAAATAGGAGCTGGATAACTTTATCCTGGAATATTGAACAAAGGTGGTGAGGACATRGTGTAATCTCAGCCGTGTGCTCCCTCAGCAAAACCCAGCTTTATTAAACTCTGCCAGAATTCCAGTCTCCTGGTTTTCTTTGGAATTTTCCAATTATTGCTGTGGAGAAATGGCCCTGGGCTTTTAATTCTGGAAGGCAGCACTGAACCCTGGCCGCAGGTCTGGTGCAGCTGCAGGGGTTTTCCAGTGGAGGAGCTCCAAGTCCTTGAGTGCCTTTATTGATTTGTTTCCTCCTTCCAAAGCCAGCAGCAGCAGCCTGGATTTGTGTGGATTTGTAGGAGAGCCTGGTGCTGCTCTCTAGGAGGAGCCACTTAGTAGTTAAGCTGGAATGAAATGTTTTATTTTGAATTTCTGGGGGGAGGTGGCTTTCYAGMWATGGAAGGGTRGAGCAGCAGGARTGAACCCMGTGTCTGACTGRTTTTCCATMTTTTAGRAGGATTCTAAGCAAGGATTTGTRTTTGTGCTATYSAGCATGTTGAACTCASCCCCRTGTGTGTTTTYCTGCTGTTTTCCAGAACTGGAAYGACCAGGAGCACCTTGCCTTTGTGCAGAGCCACCTCCTGGACATGCTGGAGCTGCTGCTGGAGCCGGAGCAGCTGTCAGCCTCCTCCCATTCCAGCAGCAGCAGCCTGGTGTCCTACGAGGCCGTGTGTGCCCTCAGCCTCCTGCTGGAGGGCACCGTCAGCACCTCCAGGACAGTGTGGCCACTCCACGAGCTGGCCCTCAGGCAGCCCTGCCACGGCCACAACGGCTACTCCAAGGTGGCCAGAGCCTTCTCCCTGGGCAAACTGGAGAGCTGGCTGCGCTCCTGCCTCACTGCCAACCCCCTGGGAATGAGCGTCTGCCTCAAGGCTGGCAAAAAGCTGGCATGGGCACAGCAAGGTGGGG